TGCTGAGACTAGAGGGTCAGTACATGCACCCACAGGAGGCCTCAAATGCCTCATGTCCTGAACTCCTCAATCCTCCCAGGTTCACAATCACAGACATACGGTCATTAATGACATGTATCTATCTACACTTTGATTGGGTATATGTTAATGAAGGGTTTGGTCATGAAGACCTCCCCCGCTAAATGAAAAATGTATGGTAAGGAGTTTCATCCTAGAGGCCCTGCTCCTCTGCTCCAATGGTATGGACACTAGGGCAAGCAGCTAGAAGCCCAGAGGTCAAGAGCTTGAGGCCATAGCAGAAGTTGCTCAGGGCACAGCCATGTCAGATTTAAATGAATCTGCGAATTTTGCTAAATACCTTATCGCAAGGACACAAGAAAGGAAAGGGCCCAAATGTGATAAGGGTCTCAGGTCTTTCCTCCACATTCATTGTTTAGCAGCTGCTTAGCTGTGATAGTCTTCAAAGGATATCAGTTAGGTTTCAACTCTTGACACTGAGTGGCCTTTCTTACAGTAAAGGGTTTCAGTTACTTCGTGTTGGTGTTACTGTGGTCAAGCACTTAGTCACTGTTTTCCTGTTTAGAACTCATCAAAAATTGGAACCTGTCTTTAGCCAAGATTAACCCACAATTTCTATTATTTTTAGTAACACATTTAGAGCAACAACATGTGGTTTCTTTCTGTATACAATGGAGGATAAATACAGGTTGGAGGCGCTTATGCCAAGGCCTTTAATATGTTCCTTACAGTGCGGTTCTAACAATGTGTTTGGAATACAGTCCACAGCGAAGCCAGCACAGCTGTACACACCAGGCCTGACTTGGCTCTCAGTTGTGACTCCACGAGTAGTTGTGTGCCTGACTCCTCACAGGTAAGCTATGGAGCAGGAATAATGAATGGGCAAACAGGCACTGCCTAAGGGGGAGCACTGGTCTGGAGCTAGGGGGATACCTCATCCTCCCATCTCCCTTTTCCTCCTCCCCCTGCACCTTCCTTGCTGTGGCTCTGGCTCTGGCAACAGGGAGGGTACAGAAGAGGCAGTGGTGTGTAGTGTAGGAGCAATGCTGTTTCATTGCCACCGGGGGGGAGAAGTCACTTTTTTGCCACCAGAAACTGGTTTAAATGGCTCTTCAACATGCATGTTGGTGGCAAAAAAGGAGGTAACATCTCCCACCCCCATCAGCGAACCTCTGGCCACTGCTGCTGCGTTGTGCCACTACCATCCAGAGTGCCGTACTGCCCAATTACACCTCTGCTGTACAGCAATTCTCCACAGGCAGTTGGTGGTAGCCTAGCTGCTTAGGTTATTTAACATTGGACTAAAAAACATGTTCTGTAAAGCAGTGAAGGAGCTAACCCTTCAGGTCACTGGGGAAGGAGTTAAACTAACAAACTTTTTTTTTAAAAACAGAATTACTAGACAAACAGCCTTCTCTTCTATCGAGTACCATTGTTGACCTTTACAATTTGCATTGCAATAGTGCCTAGAAGTGAATAACCTTGCTAAGCATATAGCTGCTGCACTTTGTACCCATTGTAGTATTGTCAGAGTGCTGGGCTTCATTTCTAGAGGTAATCAAGACTGGAGGTCATGAGAGCATGGTTGAACATTGCCAGCTCTTGAATTCAGTTGGATGCAGAACAGGCTTCTGGCCAGTCTTAGAAGGAAAAGAGCATCGTTGAAGGCTCAGATCCACTGTGCTAAGTATTCTACACATATATAACAAAAAGTGACAGTCCCTGCTTCAAGTGTTCACTATTTAAAGTAAGCATCTGAAGATGAATAACCATGTAGAAATGACTCACCACTAGAAAACATATTCCTGGAATGGGGACAATTTAGGATGACAGCTTATGATGATTGCTTTTACACTGCTGTCAGCTGGGAACTGATGGGACTAAAACAACAAAGGTTTGTGAGTCTGGCATGGTGACCCAGTCTGCTTCCTGGTTACTAAGTCTACTATAATGTTTTTCAGCTGTCCTCTCTCCGTTTCGCTACCAGAATGAAATGGATCACAACGGAGCCAACCATCAATGAGAAGCATGATCCACAGGTAGGTAAATGTTGGAGGGGATATGGAAAGAAAGTCTGTGAAGATTTAAGAAGGCAGCCCCCTAACATTTCCAGTGTCGGGATCACATTGGAATAGGGGTAATGTCCGATGGGTTCAACAGGACAGCTCCTGTTCTATCTATGTCCTTGCAGGCCACCTGCTCTGCTGTTGGTGGTCACCCAGTGCCTCTACAGGAATTGTTTACATGGAAAAGTAACTTTAGAGAAGTAACCAGCGTATTTTGATTTATTTATTAGACTTTAGCAGATGGAAACAGGGAAATCAGTTAGCACCATAGAGACAGAACAAGAGGTAGTGGGTTTACATTGCAACAGGGAAGATTTATTTTAGCTCTTGGGAAGAACATTCCAACTGCAAGAATGGTTAAGCTTTGGAGCAGGTTATCTGGAGGGTCTGTGGAATTTCAGGCATGGGAAGCTTTTAAGTGCTGATTAGACAAACATTTGTCTGGGCTGGTTTAGGCAGCAACAATCTTGTCTTGAGCAGGGAGCTGGATTCAGTGATGCTTTGAGCCCTTCCAGCCCTTTTTTTTGACTTTTTAATAAAGTAGTTTTTCATCAGGCTGCCAGCAAGTTCTCTAGGAACTGCTATTGGCCCACAAATCAGTTTGGTATATGCTGATCCACAATGCACCTAAGCCTTGCTGTATTATTTTCCAGTCTCGCCTGTCTACCTTCAAAGAGTGCACAGGCAGGGTAGCGACCTGCAAGAGGTTTCAGAAGAGACTATGAACGATAGGGATGGGCTGTTTGGAAAAGAACAGCTCAGAGACTGAATAACGTTAGTGTATCTGGATACTCAGCAGGAGCTTTTTCAAAGTTATATAGGGCAGTTCAGTATGAAACCCAAAGGCACGTCTCCATGTTCATAAATAAGCTTTATATAATGTGCATTAAGTCTAGCACCTCCAGGCATTTATACATGTACTCTGGAAGGCATGGGAGAGCAGGGGGTGCTAAAATAAGCACAGTTTTGAGAGCCATGCTAATTAAAAGTGCCCGGAGCATCACGTGTATCAGTGTCCCTGCAATAAAAAATGGTGGCAGGCACTTTGTGTATAAATGCCCACAGTTTTTTTTGATATTGTGACATGCATTCAAATAGGTTAATGCGCATTAAAGTTCACATGTAGATGCGTCCAAAGGGAGTTGGACACCTGAAACTTCCCTCTAAGTGGTTAATGCTCCTATATTAGGGAGATGCAGCTCTCACATTCTTGGTGTGCCTGCTTCTCTTGTTAACATCGGTGGCAGAACCTCCTCTGACTTCAGTGAAAGAAACATTGGGGATTTCTTCTACGTTCTTCTGTTTGCAAAACAATGCTGCATAATTCAGAGAGACACCAGAAGGCTCTCCCAACCAGAGAACAAATAAGTGGCCTTCCTGCTGGTGGCTTAAAGTGACTCTGCAGGTAGGGGTTCTGGGGCTCAGCTAAGGAGGTTGTCCAGCTAGCATACCATCAGAGGCAAGGTGATTTCCAAATCACTCATGTACCATGTCAGTGATGCAGGCCCAGCTGTAGACTCTCTGGGAGGTGGCACCTAGCTCTAGCAGTATCTTGCAGGTCATGGAAATGTGGTTTTGGCCAGTTCTTTCTCCAAGAGCACTTGGTTACTTGCCATCTTTTTGTTTTCCTGCTAGCGGATTGTGAAGAATCTGCAGAAGGAGATTACTCTTCTGAAACAAGAACTGGCCATGCATGACAGCTTGGTAAGGAACAGGCGGAAGCCATTAAGCTATCTTAGTGGGGATTTTAGCATCTGCTTTATCTTGACCTTAATTTAGCAATAGAATCAGATATATTGTTACTGGCCCAGTTTTTCGATGCCCCCTCTGCCCCCAGATGAGACCTTTGAGTTTAGACAGAGTTTTGAGGATCAATCCCTGTTACTTTCCCATTCCACAGGGTCCTGGCCATTAATACCCAGCTATAAACAAATGGCTTTGCCCTTTAAATTCATCAGTGGCACCCTTTAATTGATCCAGAGGGGGAGGTAAGGAGTGTTCCACTTTCAGAAAGTGCCAGAATCTGATACCCTTCCAGCACTGAGGAGGAGAAGCCAAAGACAAGAATTAATTCTAAGGCTCCTCCAGAGCAGAGTGAGACGAAGCAATCACCAGGATGGGATTTGCCTGGCTTTTTATCAACTGCTGCAGGCGAATTGTTCTTTTTCTTCCTAGGTAAACCGCTCGCCAGTGAATTATGACCCTCTGAACGAAACCCAGATAGCAGAGATTAACTCTCAAGTCCGCAGGTACCTGGAAGGAGCCATAGATGAGATTGATGTGAGTAGCTGCCTAGCAGATAAGGGCTCGTAGTACTTGTTCAGCTGGTTACTTTTGCCTGGCTTCCAGCCACCTTTGGAAGGAATGAAGCCACTTGATGGAGGAGATGATTTGAAAATTAAAGGGGGCACTTATTTTTTTTTCTTTATACACTTCTGTGTTCTCTAAAAGGAGGATCTGAATACCCTCCTTATCCTCTCATCCCACCTCGACTTTGAAGCAAGCTGAAGGAGGCTGCTGCTCAGGCCTCAGACCCAGTGAGAAGTTCTGCTCTGATCTTCCTTAAATCTCAGAATGTCACAGTCGTGTTAAAACCCTGCCCTCTCAGCATATGGCTGACAACTCATACAGTATCCCTCAGACAGCACCCCGGGTTCTTTGTGAGAGCAGATCTGTTAAGACACCTCCACCCACATCTATCTACTCTTTTTCTTTTTTCTCACTCTCAGAGGCCCTTTACCCCAGAAACCCTCCAACTGACAGGGGTGGGACGAAATAAGGACATTCTGTAAGGAGAGATGGCTTCTGTAAAATCCAGGGAGTGGGTTTGGGTCAGGAGCAGCCTGATGAGTAGGAGCAGAGAAGAAATGAGGAATTTCTAATAGGAAGAGATGTCTTAGGTTGGTTCTGGAGGCTTTTAGAAGGATGGATGGCCTCAGTGAGAGAGTTGAGAAATCCCGTCAGGACTCCTAAGAGAGGAAGGATGGTTCTTTGTCTAGAGCCATATCCTATGGTGTGAGATGCTTGGGTGCAGGTCCCTGCTGTGCCCCAGACTCCCTGTCACTTAGTCTGCCCCACTTCCTTTGCAAGGTGAGGAGGGGGACTGCACAGATAAAAGAATTAAAGACTACAGGGTGATCAAATAAGTAGACAGCTAGACTTCACCTTGTGTGAATGGAAAGGGAGTGGCAGAGCCATCGCAGTTAAACTCTGCCTCATGAATAATTTGTAAACTGCTTTGTATCACAGTTTTGTTAGAACCAGCTAATAATTCCTTAGCCCCACAGCTGCACAGGGTATTTGCACAGCTGGAGCCTTTGCCAGCCTACCAGAGATGTTTTTCAATCCCACCTCAAAAGAGTTGAGCAGCGAATTGTGACTGCTGCTACAGGGGCCCAATTTTCCCCAGGCAGGATGCAGGTAGCTCTCTTGAGTGTCTTGTATGCTACAGCTGGAGAGCAGATCCTTGGGATTCTGTAGCATTTCAATCTGCTGCCCAGCACAACATGTTTCTGACCACAGCTTACAAAGGTGCCTACCATTATATCTTCACTGTACACTTCTGTTCCCTAGATAATGAACATCAGGCAAATCCAAGAGATATTTAACCAGTTCAAAGTGATTCTAAGGTAAGATATTGCACCCAGGGGTTGAATCTATACTATCACAGCCTCTTGCCATGATACTGTTTGAGATGTCACTGCAAAATAAGCAGAGAATAACTTCTGGCTACAAAAGACTGCTGTTTTATATGGTAGGCCAGCTGCTGGATAGTCCACTGGTTTGCACTAATTAGTTAAGTGTTCTCATGTTTCTTTGGGAGATGCTACCTTTAACCTCCTTATCATCATCATTTGTACTACTTGTACTACTTTTCCTGGCCCCAGAGAGCTTCCAGCCTAAATTCAAGACAAGAAACAACAGCTGGGAACAGGCACAAGCACTCAGTGAGACAGCATGTTGGGCAGTGGTGTCAGCACACCTGCAGCCTAGCCATTATCAAGCTTTTTCTGGGCATCCCAGCAAGGGAGAGTTTTAAGTGGGGATTTGAGGGAGCATAGTGAGGTGGTTCTGCAGAAGTTTACATGAGCTGCTTCAAAGAGCAAAGGGCAGCGTGAGAAAAAGCTGATCAGGGTGGGAGCTCACCTCTTGGTACCAAATGAGAGATGGGAAGGAAGGAGGAAACAGGCTGCAAAGGACTTTGAAAGTGAAGAGAAGCAGCTTTTCTTGTGTTAGAGAAGGGGGGAAATCAGTGAAGCAATGGAAAAAGGGCGACTTGGTCAGAGCAGTGGGATAGGAAAGTGATCCTTGCAGCAGCCTTCTGGATAGCTGTCAAATGGCAAAGTTACATGTGATGTCACCGCAGGAAGATCTGTCTGGGCTTGGAAAAAGCAATTTGTTCAGAACCCAAGTGCCAGTGATACAGCACAAGGCTGAGCATTCGGTTCCCCAGGACCTTGGACTCATTCAGATTTCTTGCTGTGTGTTTGCTATGGGCTGTGGGGATTATTGCCTTGTTTGTAGCAGGGGGCATGGTCCTCTACCCAGTATCTCTTGACTGTATATTAACAAACTTTTACAGAAGCGGGATGTTGGCTGCCATGGTCCCCCAGCTTTACCTCTGGCAGGTTTGGGTGTGATGTCTTTTATTGCATCAGGGTTGACTGTGGGTTTATTAAGAGGTTAGTTTATGGATCTGTATGGTTTGGATAGGGATGATCCTGCCTCAGGCAGGGGGTTGAACTAGGTGACTTCTGGAGGTCCCTTCCAGCCCAGTGTCTCTCTGATTTTATGATTTTTTTGCCTGGATTTTATTTCTGAGGAACTCTTTTATGGGACTAAAATAAACCAAGAGCCAGTCCACTAATGGCAATTCCAGCACTGAAACCCTCTGACATCATGTTATTTGGGCCATACAAACAGTCCTTTCAGTATTTAAAATGCCATTAAGAAGTATAAATGTGTGAAAGAGGTTTGAGGGACAGCGTGGAAGAAAGTAGTAAGGAAGAAGCTGGAAAAGGTGACAATAGGTAGAGAAAGGAAGGTGGCTTGGGATGGTTGCAGTCAGCAGCTGGGGGAGCAGGAAGCGATGAGGTCAAAGGTGATGGGGGGATTCTGGCCTTCTTCTGAAGTATGATATTTCTGTATGTTCTGGCATGTTTAAAACTTCTCTTGGAATACAATAATAAGGTTCTGTTATCTCCCCGTAGCCAACAAGAGCAAGAAGTGGAAGCCAGGTTACGCACCAAGTACATCCTGATAGACAAAAATGACTACGCAGCCATTAATGCTGTTCAGAAGGTAGGGCTTGGGTCTTGACCTGCCTCCCAGAAGTCATCCTAATCTACTTGGCATGAACCACTGGAATCTGAGGCTGTGAGGTACCATGGTCATGGCCCTATGGAGAGTTCGTATCGAGCTGCATCTTGTCAGTGAAGCTGCCTCAATTTATGCTAGTATCAGTCTATGGCTCAGTAGCTTGACAGGGTACTTTATAAAATAGGAAAAAGGAGAATGTAATCATCTTACTAGATCAGACGTATCTTTATGTGTGCATACCAATCCATCTGTCTTGTCTGTCTGTTATAAAATACAGGGCTAGATCCTCCTCTTGGCACTGCTGGGGTGACCTGAAGGAGTCTTTCATGAACAAAAAATGCTGATGTGGATTTGCATGCATAATTGAGAGTATAAATCATTTTTCACTCTCAGTCTGTGATGGGACTGTAAACATGCCACAGGCTGACAGTGAAAAGTATTTATCCTTTAAGTAATCAATAACGCAATATTTATGTGTTATTCTCATTCCATTCCAATTCAAATTCCTCTAGATACTCTGACCACTCTGGAAGAAAGTGATAATAAAAGTGCTATATTAGTATAATATAGCACAATATAGCAATTAGTATTAGTATAATATAGCACAGTCTTCAGGCAGGCCTAACTCTAAGCTTTAATTTGAATCTGAATTGGAATGCAAAAAGGAAATGTACTCATATATCTGCGCTGAGTGATCCCATTAACTAAGCAGGCTGTTGGGTCACTGACAGAAATAAATTTTACTTATGAAATCTTCAGGTGCTGAAAGAAAAAATCCCATAGTGCAATATTCTTTAACATTACAGACACCATGATCATAGTGAGACTTGTGGTATTTGTGATATGTAAGAGGAATGCATTTTGGGATATCATCAATGATGATATGATAGGAGTAAGTAAAGCTTGGAGAAATATATTTATTAATTTAATGTAAACCTATTTCTGTGATATAAGACCTAGCCTTATCCATAGCCTGGTTAGTGAGAGCATTCAGTATAGGAATATGAGGATAACAATAATTTAATTTTTTTCCCTTAAGCTTCATTTTTAAGGCAAAGTTTTCCAAAAAAATGCCACAAGCTGTGTGTGGATTTATTCCCTTAGATAATGAAATAGGACAGAATAACTGCGGTGAATGGATTGTTTAGTTTTTACAGGCTGGATGCCTCTAAGTGTAATATGTATATAACCTCATCTTCTTTCCTTCTGGTTTCTAGGCTGGCCTAGTTGATGCAGACGGTCATCTGGTGGGGGAAGTGGATGGACAAGGGTTTGGGATTGGAATTGCCCCTTTCTTATCCAAGCAGGGTGGGAGGAGAGCAAAAGCCAGAAGAGTCAAAGAGCTGGCCAGGTGAGCTAGCTTGTAAACAGTTGTTCCTTCCCGTTCTGAGTCCTGGTGGTGTGGTAGCTGTGATAATCCAGGGATACGAGAGAAAAAAGTTATGTGAGGTGAAGTAATTTTTTTTACTGGACCAACTTAAGTAGCTTTGTGCCAAGATGGAATATATCAACATTTGACATTTAAAATGGGAAATTCATAACATGAAGAAATAGGCAGCAGATGTTGCTTTTTCATTTGGCTTCTAAGCTTCAGGAAAACTGAGAAACTACCTCCTTTACTTAATCTACTCTAAAGCAATCAGTTTAAACAAGGAGTCATCACATATTCCCATAAATTGAAAGAAAAAGAAGAAAAACACCCAGAAACATGCCTAATGTGGAGCAAACCCAGAACTGTTACTAGAAATACTTATGACAGCCATCCAACACAAGATATGGATATAACTAGTATGTTGACAGCGGGACATCAAACCAGCACGAAACCAGGATAATACCATCCACCACAACAGCATCACTCAGCACCATCAACTTCAACACCCCCACATCCAGGATAACCAAACTGTCTGTATTCTCTGAAGACCTAAACTTCTGCCTGGACAGTCAACCTGATAATGTGCCAGTGTGTAGGAAATTAGAAGAATTTTTCTGTTAAGTGCTTCTTAAAAGAAGTCTGGACTCAAGACAAAGCCATTCCTAAACAAGTTTTCCCCATTGACAAGCTTAAGAATAACACAACTCATGACTGGACACCCTGCCACAGTTGAAACTACAGGCAGTCCTTGACTTACAACGTTTCACACTTACAACATTGGTAAATTGACACCCTGTTTCAACTTTATGACATCAGTTTTGACTTCACAACGCTTGTTCCGATGCGACGCCATACCAGCAAACAAGTTCACTGCATTGCTCATCTCCTGGAGAACATCTGTCCAAACTTCCTTGGACACTTTCTTTAAGAAAGCAGAGAAGACTCCAGAAAAACCTGCAGCCAAGACTTCTGAGAAGACTCCAGCCAAGAACCCCTCAAAAAGTCCAACCGAGAGCCTTTCAAAAAGTCCAGTGAAGTCACCTCAAAGAAGCCCTTTCAAATCAATGTGATTTGCTATTTACAATATAAATACATTAATATAGCTATATTACTCACCTATAATTGATCGAGTACAAAATTCTGGCGTATTTTCAGTGAAAATAGGGTATCGGGTCTTGGTTCAGGAACCAATCCCCCATTTATAACATTGTTTTTTATGAGAAAATTGGTTCCGAGTTGCAAAATTTCCACTTAAGATGCGGTTTTCAGGAACCAGTTGTGTCGTAAATCCAAGGACTGCCTGTATTACATTGGCTGCGTCAGGAAAACTGTCAACAGTGAAATTCTCAACAAGCACAACCACTGCCACCAGCTCTTCTTTTCCGTTCCTAAGATCTGACCACTAAGCAATGATCAAACCAGTAGGTAAAGAGATCCATAACCTGCAAGAATGAATGACATCAAATAGCTAATACCCTCTATTCCAAGCAGATCTGTAAAGCCCCCATGCCAGTATTATCTCTTGAACTTGAAGACACCATCAAATCCCTACTCTGGTAGCTCTGAGATGAACCACACAATCTAATCCACTGTTCCCACCCCAGGATTGCTCTACATGCTCCCCAGGGTATACAAACAAGGAAAACTCTGGCCCATCCTTCACATCCATTCTCAAACCACTTACCACACAAGGCAAGTGTCTATCTAGGTTAAACTTGAGTTCCTCCTCAGACTCTGCAACATAAACTGTGTCCTTGAGAAACAGTGTCCTTGAGAACAACGTCTTTGCCAACATAGACATCACCAACCTACATACCATCTGCCACGATGGTGGCATCACAGCCTACCTATCCACAAGAGCATGAGCAACACATACACTTCCATCCCAACCTATTGCTAAATTCATCCATTTCATCCTCACCCACAACAGCTTTACCTTCAACAGGCATTTGCACCAAGTCATGAGCAGAAATTTGGCTACCAAGATGCCTCTTTGTGATCTGCCTTGAGGAATAATTTTTAGATACCACCAAACCTATGCTGTGTCTACCATATGTAGATGATGATTTCATCTTTTGGACCTTGTGATCTCTGGGACCCTACGTGTTGCACAGCCTGTCGGGTGCATAGCCCTGCCCCTCAACTCGCTTGCCACGACTTTGATGTTAAACAATTAAGAGAGAGGGTTCAGTGGAGATCTTCCTCGGAGGGCCTCTTGACAAACGGCAGTACTCACAGTTGTTTGACGCGATGTTCCACGGGGCTCTGCCTCCCCTACACCCTGGCCACTCGCCAACTGGATGGGTGTTCATAGAATGGGGGATTTTGGCCCTGTGGGGTTGCCTGCAGCTTGCTTTGGGTGGGGTCCCATGTCGGCGTGGATGCAGATGGCTCTCCTCCCTCCCGCCTCAAAGCCTGGCCCGCCTTCTCTAGGCTCTTTGATTTCCCCTTTTTCTTTTTTTGGGGTTTTTTTTTCCTCAGAAGAAATACTCCCCTTCAGTGGGGAGCTGGAGGGCTTCCCCTGCTCTGCCCTCCTGCAGGGGGCTCAGCAGTTTCCCCTCTGTGGCCTGCGGGAGCCGTGCAGGCTGTGCCACTTCTCTTCCACGCTGGAGCCTCAGCACATCTAGCATGCTGCCCACCATTGCTCTCTCTCCACAGCTCACCCCCCGCCTTGGTTTCGGTGGGCTTTTAAACTTTCCCACGGCGGCCAGTACGGCCGCTGTGATTGGTCTAGCTGTTCCCTGTGCGGGAAACAGCTGATTAAACAGTTGGCGTAACGCCAGCTCTCGCAGCTGCAGTCCCTGCTCCTGCTCCTGCTCTGGCTGCCCGGCAGAAGGTAAGTCACCCCCGCCAGGGGTCTGTTTCCAGGGTTTGGGGCCCGTGGGGATTACCCTCTCCCCTTTGGGAGCCTGTGGTGGTGCCTCGCTGCCACAGACCTACAACCTAGATGTTTCCATTGATTTCCACAGCAACTTCAGTGGCTTCTACTTTTTCATAGATTTCATAGACATTAGGGCTGGAAGGGACCTCGTAAGATCATCAGGTCCAGCCCCCTGTCCAAGGGGCAGGAAGTCAGCTGGGGTCAAAGGATCCTAGCAAGATAAACATCCAAATGTGTCTTAAAAGAGTCCAGAGTAGGTGCTTGCACCACCTGTGGTGGGGAGTCTGTTCCAGGTCTTGGGGGCTCAGAGAGTAAAGAAGTTTTTCCTTATGTCCAGCCTAAAACGGTCATGGAGTTTGTGACTGTTCGACCTCATCATCCCTTGGGGTGCACTGGTGATCAAGCGTTCCCCCAGATCCTGATATATACCCCTGATGTACTTGTAGGCTGCTACCGAGTCACCCCTGAGCCTGCGTCTCTGCAGGCTGAAGAGTGCCATCGCTCGCAGCCTGTCTTCATAAGGCCTAGTCTCCTGCCCTCTGATCATGTGCATGGCTCTCCTCTGGACTCTCTCAAGCTTCATCATGTCCTTCTTGAATTGTGGAGCCCAGAATTGGATGCAGTACTCCAGCTGCAGCCTCACCAAGGGCAAGTACAGTGGGAGGATGACATCCTGTATCTTGCTCGAGATGCATCAGTAGATGCAAGCCAGAGTTTTGTTTGCTCTGTCAGCTGCGGTATCACACTGGTTGCTCCTGTTCATCTTGTGGTCAACTGGGACCCCTAAGTCTCTTTTGGTTGTGCTGCTAGCAAGTGCAGTGCTGCCGAGCCTATAAGGGTGATGTGGGTTTTTTCTCCCTGAGGTGGAGCACCTTGCATTGCTCCATATTGAATGCCATCAGGTTTTCATCTGCCCACCTTGAAGCCTATCGAGATCGGCCCAGATCACCAGCCTATCCTCAAGTGTGGACACTCTTCCCCAAAGTTTGGTATCGTCAGTGAACTTGGCCAGTTCGCTTCTGACACCAGTGTCCAGGTCGTTTATGAAGACATTAAAAGTGCAGGTACGAGAACGGAGCCTTGGAGGACACCACTGGTCACCGAGTGCCACGTTGATTCGGTTGCATTGACCACCACTCTCTGGGTCCGACCTCAGAGCCAGTTCCCCAGCCATCGGTCTGTAGTGTAGTCGAGGCCACAGTTGCCCAATTTTTCTATGAGAACATCATGGGACACCAGGTCAAAGGCTTTGTTTAAGTCCAAATATATTATATCAACCTCTTCCCTTTTGTCCAGGTGATAGGTCACCTGGTCATAGAAGGAGATGAGGTTGGTCAAGCAAGACCTACCCGCAGCAACCCCGTGCTGGCTGTCCCTCAGAACGTTGCCTTCTGTTAGCCTGTCAAGAATGGGGTCTTTGATAATTCTTTCCAAGATCTTCCCAGGGATTGAGATCAAACTGATTGGCCTGTAGTTTCCCGGGTCTTCTTTCCTCCCTTTCTTGAAGATGGGCACCACATTGGCCCTCTTCCAGTCTTCAGGTTCTTCACCTGAGTGCCAGGAGTTCTCGAATATCCTTGCCACTGGCTGCACTCTATTGTCTGCCAGCTCCTTCAGCACTCTTGGGTGCAGTGTATCCAGACCAGCTGATTTGTGGAGGTCCAGCCTCTCAAGATGCTCCCTCACAAGATCTACTTCAGTGGTGGGCATATATTCACCCTCATCCTTGTCATCCCACATCATATTAGGCAGGGAGGTTCCTTTGGGCTGGTGAAAAAATGATGCAAATAATCATTAAGCAGGTTGGCTTTTTCCTGGGCATCAGATGTCAGCTGCCCCAGTTGGTTTAGCAGGGGTCCAATGTTGCCCTTGTTTTAATTCTGACTCCCCACGTATCTGAAGAAGGACTTTTTATTGTCCTTGATTCGTGTAGCCATTTTGAGTTCAGTTGCAGCCTTGGCTTTCCTAGCTCACTCCTACAGGTGTGGACCAGTGCGCATTTCATCAGACTGACTGTGAAATATTTGTATGCCAGCATCAGCTTCATAGACACCATGAGCAACGTCACTAGTTGTACCATACAAACAATTCTATACCA